AACAAACTGGGATTTAGTTTAAATGTAGAGTTTTGACTCAGAACAGTGGAAATGAAAAGGATGTTAAACATTTTATGTCTAATCAGACATATCAGATTTACAGTATGGGGTTGTGACTCATCTTTTTTTTCTTTTTGAGATAACTGTATTGCATCAATTCAGCAAATATTAATAAATCAACTTTTTCATAATTTTTCAGAAATATATTTTAGGAACATATTTTACATTCTTGTTTTCAGTAATGGTAAAATATATATATCAAATTCTATGCCTTACTTAGGATTGACAGAGAAAGTTATTCAGTTTTCATTTTTAATGTACGGGTATCTACTTGTCCAAAATTAGTTTTCCTGCAAATTTCATCTACTTTTGAGGAAAAGGAAAAGACTTTACAGTGGTTTGAATTTTTCCTACTCTACAGAGGGCAGAGGTCCAAAAGTAGGGATATGAAATTTCATTACCTGAAAAGTGATTCAGGGTGGAATGATTCATTTAAAAAACTGGATCTGATTCTCAAAGCAAATTAGAATAGGTTCATTTATTATAATCACTGATAAGAACTAATACATATATAAATTATATATGTGTGTGCACATGAGAATGTTTGCACACATGCATTTGCCAATTTAGATTAGCCGAAATATCATTTGTATATATGGCAGGCTCTAGCACAAAGTTTGGGTACAGGTGATGTCTTATCAGATAGTAGTTTGATAAAAGATATTGCAAGTATATTTTTAAAGCAAATTGAGTGACCTAGTAATAATTATCTGTATGGAAATCAATATTATTTAGTTATTTTTCAAACTTATAGCCTACCACAATCAGTACTCTTGATGGCTCAAAAAATAAGAATGTTTAATGGAGTACAAAATATAAACATAAAACAAATAACCCCCAACACAGTTCATGGGATCAAAAGACCTGAAGAAAAGCTCTGTTTTCAGCTTTTTGTGGAAGGCGGACAAGCTGAAACACAGAAGATTCTCCAGCACGTAGTTATTCCAGATTATACTGGAAGTTCATTAATAGATTACTTGAATATAATGTGAACTTTTTCACCACAGAAAGCTATTTGTGAACACTTTGCCAAAACATAATCAAATGTTCCTGTACAATTTCAATGTTACTATTAATAGAATAAGCTTTGAGTCCACCTCGCTAGTTACATGATAACAAATTAAGTACTTTCACCTTGTACTCTGAACCAGCTAATAGCATTTCAACCATCTATATTCTGAGATTTTCAAAGGAAAGTTGAATTTCTAAAAGCACAATTTCTGCTTATGAAAGGTTTAATACAGTTTTCTGTACTCTTTTGATTTATAATTGTTCCAAAGAACTGGATCTAGTTTATTCAGAGAAAGCCATGGACTCTAATATTGTAGAACATAATATTAGTAACATAGTTGAGTTGAATTATTAATTATAAAATGTTTTATTGATTAGGGGAAAATAAACTCTGTACATGATACTTCATACATTACTGAATGTCTTTTGGTAAAATTAACTATTTATAGGAAACAGTCAAATTCAATGTGCTTAATATGTATTTGATTTATAAGCTAATATTGGGATTTCTAATATTATATTAATGTAGTACTTATATGACTATAATGAAAAGCAAATAAGTATGTCATTTGCTTTGGGATATATTTGTAACTGCAAGGAAATAATCTGAAGATCAAAATAAAGTTATTGCAATTTAGGCATGAAATGAATGATAAATGCAGGGGGGAAAACCCATCTTAGATATATGTATGAATCTGCTTTATCTTTGATAGATTCACAAGTGATATGCAAAGCTTCAATAGTAGGAAACAGAAGGTACATTTCTGATTATAATTTCATTTCTCAAACATCAGTTTAGGAAGGGGAACTTTTACTTTCTTTGTGCTTCTTACTTTGGGTTATACGCGTGTGTGCATGCACACACACACACACACAATTCCCTAATAAGAAAGTAGGCAGGAAATATCACAAGTACACATTTGTCACAAGTACAAATTGATTATTTAATGATTATATTTGATTTGAGATATGAAGATCCCCAGTTTCAAAGGAACTCCCAGTACTCAAACAATATAATTGACATAATTATTTTAATCTACTCCAATGGATTATATGATGTTTTCAAATTATATATTGCCTATTGATTATATTTTACCTGGAGAGTAAATAATGCAGTCCGTGTACTTCTTTAATTGCTAATTATTTTTTCTAACTTATTATTGTCTCTTTTTAATATGATTAAACTATGTATCATGATTTTAAATTAATAGGCAGATTCATTTAATTAATAAAATAAAATTATGTCCATGTATTTCTATGAATGGAGGATATACCAGTGATATTCCCTCATTTTCTGATGGAATTAAATATTTCTTGGTTTGGACTGGAATAGATTATTGGGTTTTTAAAAAGAATGGTGTAAGTTGAAATTAAATTTTATTGATTAACTAATTCTATGTTAATATACTGCTTTCAAATAATACCATGCTGTAAATGAAAGCATCGATTTATTAACCAGCAAAATCTATGAAGGTGAATTCAAGCATGAACTGTTTTAAAATATTCTGTTGCAAAAGCATGTGTTTTTCATACTGTGCATACAGTGGGGCAAAAAAGTATTTAGTCAGCCACCAATTGTGTAAGTTCTCCCACTTAAA